CCCCACGGGGGATGGCCATGCCACAATCCCTTCTCCTCCATTCTCCTCTCGGGATCTTGGGCACGCACGCACACGCACCTGGTATGAGTTTAAGTCACCAGGTCTGGGACTTGAACCGCAGTCGACTACATGGGAGTTCAGTGACATAGCCATTATGCTAACTGCTGGTCCCAAGAGCAAAAAAAAATTTTAAATCAAAAAAATAAAGATAGAGGACCCCAAAACTTAACTAGTTCAGTTCCCTGGCTACGGAAAGAGCAAGCACTTAATCCACTTAGAACACGCTCTCTTTTGGTAAAGAATCAAGATCTCCCTGCCCCCAAATAAATCCTGAACCACATCCCTCTCTACAGGAGTTTGAGTGAGGCCCCCTGTACCCTTTACCCAGTCCCTCCTCACCGAAGTGAAGACCTCAGTGGTCTGCTGGATGGTGGCAATCTTCTTCCAGCCCCACTTTTCAAAGAGTTTCACACGAGTAGGGTTGTGGAGCGTGGCCGATGGATGCGTTCGGAAGAATGTGGGAAAACGCTGCCGGTTTGACAAGGCTGGCGAGCTGGAGCCATAGGAAAGCTAAGCGGGCAGGGATAAAGCGTCAGGGTATTCCAGTGTGGACTCCACTAAAGGCTGAGTGTTCTTTAGCCTTCTCCCTGCCTCTGGGCCCCTCTGTTCCACTCTCTCCAAACCTCCTCCACCTCTGCCCTAGGAAAAGAGATTCTCAAAGGCCCAAACACCCCCTCGCAATCAAGAGGCTCTTTCACTGATCTAACTTGAATTCCTTCTGATGAAGAACGAGGTCAGCTGCAGCACTGTCGGGCCACTGTTGCTAGGATGCCACTAGCTCAAGTCTGCAGAGGACTCAATCTGGAAGCAGGTCCTCCACAGTCCTCTCGGATGCAAACCCACACTCGCCTCCTCCCACCTTTAGTACCGCTCAAGAGGGTACTACCCCACCTTCTGACTCCACAGCCCTGCTTACCACAATGAGGTTCCACATCCTGGCAGCCTCGGCCACGAGCGTGGAGACGGAGCTGCAGCCAGGCATGAGGATGATCTTGATAGGGTCGTTGTAGAGCAGCTCGTAAAGGTACTTGGTGGCTTGGCCAGGGTCACACTGAACGAGGAGGGAGGGGATGAGGGCAGGCTCTCCTAGAGCCCCTTCCCGCCCTGTACCTTCCACTCGTTTAGCTTTCTCAGACAACCTAGCTCCCCCTTCCATTACTCACCTGCATCATTATTACCATTTTCTTCTTCTTCCTGACATCTCTTCCTGTCAAGTTTCTTATTTCTCTTCCTTCGTTAAATTCCCTTCTCTGTTTTCCATCTGGTGTCTTATCCATATCCTCTCCTGCACACCCTCCCCTCGGCATTAATGCGCACACTGCCTTAACTCCTGGCAGCTCATCCTCAGACAACCCTAAGCCCACCTTCCCTCTGTCACCCTTGTCCCTTACCCCATGGTTCTATGCTCCAAACAGCCACGGGTAGAAAAGAGTCTACAGGAATATGGATAACTCTCTCCGTGTCCCCAGACAGCTTCCTCAAAGCCATATTATGAAAATTCCTCCCTCACCTCCCTGTCTCCATTTCCTGCACCTCCCCCCCTTTTTCAGGATTTCTGCTAAGTAAATGAGAGAGGGAACAGGAACAAGACCACTAGGCATGTGCTCAGTGATCCATCCCCTCCTGCTGGGTCCTGACATTTGACAGGTCCATTAGAAAAAGGCACTCAGGGAGAGAAGAGGGGGGAAATCTAGGATCGGGAAAGAACAGAGGAAGAATAAACAGGAGACTCAAGAAACCAGACCATTTTAGGGGTGCCTGAAAGGAAGGCACAGAGCCGGGGAAAGTAAACAATGCAGAAAGCTAAAAAGGCAAGGAAGGATGGGAAGGGAAAGGGAGGGAGGAAGAGCCAGCCATGGGTCTCCCACTGCCTGTTCCCCTCCTGC